GGCAGATTCTGAATTCCAAGCACGTCTATAATGTTTTGTAACGGAATGCCTATTGGGCTTGCTAAATATGACCGAAAACTACCTGATAATACAGACATAATAGTTTGGGATCACACTATAACACAATACAGTCTCTGCGCGTCTCTCGACCCAGTATACTGCGCTCCAGATACACGGGCCTATGCGCTGGGAGTTGAGCGTATCATCACGAGCGAATCGGATTGATGAAGTGCCACCGTGTGCAACTTAATGACGTGCAAAAACGCAATGTACATGTAGGTTATGGCTCGTTGAAGGCCGGCCCAAGCAGACGACCAGATCTCAGCCTTTCCAGAACGTTTAAACGTCTGCTATGTACATATGCATGTACGTCATCGTACTGGGCTAATAGTACTCTGCGCACCTCCTCAGGAGCTCATGCTTTAGCACCAGTAGGAATACGATGTGTAACAGGTACCTATTATATTAATGAACAAAACAAAACAATAAACTCAGGAGCTTATGCATAGTCGGGACCGGCTGGATCATTTCAACTACCATTTAGCGCATGCACCTCGTTCCACCTTCATGTCAGATCTCACCCATGTATTGAGTTCCGCAAAGTCTGATAGTCTAGTTAGCCTGACGTATGCGCCGGAGTGCAGATTCTTCCTGTCGCTCGACCTTGACGCGCCTGGGAATACTCCTATTCGTTAAGTCACTTATGTTGCCACAAATCAATACTTGCCCTAAGCCGGTAAAGACGAATTCTTCACCTTCCAGTGGTGCCGGTGTAATCGCTCAGTATGCTCTGCATATCTGGGATAGCCAAGAAGAATCGCATCCAAATCGAAGTCGAAAGTAAACACATGTATATCTCCATTTGACGACTTCTCAATCATGCAGCACTCACCATTATCTTCTGAGTCCTCAACCTCTTTCTAACCACATATCATCTCGCCTCGACGACCGATAAAGGCATTACCCCAATTACAAACAGGAGCTTGCCTCATTTATTACCGGCCATCACTCACTACAAATTTACGACGCTACTTATACCTGCAAAGAGGAAATGAAGTCATAATATGCAAAGTTGGGGTCTTGGTTAATGGGGGACTGATGCTCTAATGGGGTTGTACATCTTGAGGAAGTACAGGCGGCTGAGATATGTAACGAGAGGGGGAACAGGTCTCTGAAGAACATGCTGTGACTGACATTTTCGAGGAGTTTTCAACTTTGTATTTTCTGTGGGCGCCAAGACTAAGATTTCGGCTAATTAGCCACGAGGGCTTCTTTTGTCGATGAGTCAACGGCACTCCCCAGCGCCCTGGACGGCACAAGAGAAGCTAGGCTAAGCTACCACATAGCAATTACGCTCTGTGAAGACTTTTCTGACATTTCAGCACGACCTCCGGGAAGGAGTTGGAAGGAGGCTAGAAAGGCAGAGTGTGAATTCTCCGAGGTACAAACAAGTCTGCAGCGACCAGCTGGCCGGCATCTTCGAACTCTTCAGAAGGGGCACTATGTCTTCAGATTTAGTCCTAATTTCGGTATTAGGAGAGCTCCGCACCCAGTAGATTTTGCGATTTTCTCGGCTGCTATTCACCTGCAAATGACCATCGTTTCGTTGGCTGGAGAGGGGAGATAATGAAGGGCAAAGGGCTCCTCTTAGTGTATGATCGAATGAGGATTTGTGAGGGGTGTTATTGTTCGAGGCGAGCCGTGTGGGAGGCATAGGAGGGGATATACCACTGGTATAGGTATCCTTGATCTGTAGGTAGAAAGTACCTGCATGTCCTACATAGGCATAGACTCAGACAGGACAATAAAACGAAAAAAAAAACTTGCCCTTACATCTATTACTTCCCATTAATACTTCTGCTAGGGCTAGGGGGACTATTCCCATCACCTGTCAGTGGTGTCCCCTACGAACATCCAGCCTTCACTGTAGACTCTGCGGAGCCGAGACTGAGTAACAAAGTCCTCATTTCGACGAGGATTCCCAATCGCTTTCGTGGTCTGCAGCGTCTTCATCCCTAAGCAAATTCCCCTATTACCATTAGTATGAAGCTAACCACGATCAGATCAGGTGGTAGGGTTGAAGCCCTACTCATTACCTACTCTTGACCATAGAGGAGAAGCCACCCAATGAGTTTCCAGCGCGTACCCAGCACCCGATACGGAGATGGTGGATTGGATCAAGTCGTCCTCTAATGTTTGAAATCAGGAAGGTATAGATGGATGTGTGCACCTCATGTGGTCCCGGTGTCTAGGCCTCGCCTGGCTAGAGCTGCTGGTTTTTTGAGACTTTTTCCCGTGCACGCAGTTTCCATTGCTACCAATTTTTTTTGGGTAGAAGGTTTTGTGGAAAAGGTGGCCGAATTCAACGGGTAAATACTGAGCTGAATAGCTATTCTTCACGTGCAATGTATCAATGATCTTCCAAGAAACATGAGAGGCAAGGAGCACTATACAAGGTGTGGCCTAATTCAGATAGGAGCCCAATTTTCTAGAAAGTCTAAGACTCTAGTAGTACAATAAAAAATATCACACATGAACATCACTTCTCTTAAAGCCAAAGCCACCTCCTTCCCTACCTTCATCCTAACGGTACATCGTTCCAGCTCAGCATAGCCTTTCAATACATAGAAATGAGGACCAAAGACGGTATTAAAAGAAATGTGTCATTTCCTGACCGATTCCCTAGATCGCTGATTATTGGTCGAAACATAAGTTAACATCTATTATTCAAATGCTCACCGCTTTTTATACATGATCCATGATAACAGAGGATCTATTGGTAGAAGGTTTAAGGATCATTACTGTTGGTATAAATGTCCTGTCCTTACTTTACAATATTAGTCATCGTTCATTATGAGTAATATTATCTTTTCGGAGATATGGAGAATACACAAGGTCCAACAACACAGCCGTAGAAACGTGACATACAGTTCAAATTCTTTGCGCCGTGTTTTAGTACCCAGCTAATTACCGATAAATTAATGTAACTGCTGAGAATTTTATATTCAGAGCTGCAAGGATTTCGTAGGTAGAAAACGCTTGTCAAATAAAAATACTAAATTATTCAATTGTCCTGATTTGGCGCCTTGAGGCCCATGCAGGTTTTTATCGGAATATATGTTCCTAAAGTAGATTGACTCAATTTGACGTTTAGAACACTCACACTCAGATTTGATTTGCAGATACCACCAGAGGTTAACCCTTTTGGCGTACATCCCCCACCACAGGGAAAAGTATGAAAACCCTATGGTTATCTGAGTGTGCTTTCACAAGCCCACAAGTGCAATATCACCACGAGAGGGTGTGATGTGTGTGTTTTACTGGACTCGAACCAGCTTTCTCCTGTCTCAGATGGGGTAGGTGCTCAAGCTACCCAATATATACTTGGTAGAACGACCCGAATGGTGTACCACTGCACCAACCAGCCCCTGCTAGCTATACTTACGTCTGAAGCAGCTAGACTCTCGTCTTATTTCCCTAGGGCAGTTTCATGAGCTATTCTAGTGTCCATCTTTTTTTTTTGCGTCAGATTTTAATTGCGTATGCAGCTACCTAGCTATGACACAATATCAAAGAAAAGTACGGAAAAGATGACTCAATTTGCAAGTGGATAACTCATGTCTCAGATTTCAATTGCAAGTACCACTGCGAAGTTATGGTGGCTTTTTCTTCACCCCAAGTCAACCCTCATCCGTGAATACCCACCCAGGGGAACATCTCAAAAACTTTGGGTTATCTAGACATGCCTCCATCATCTTTCAACTTTTCAACGCGCGAAATATGGTCTTTGGCGTCTCCTTTCCGAGTGGAGTAGGTGCCCAGGCTACTCAGACTATACCGGAAAACAGCACCAGGAGGCGGTCCACAACACCTTCCATTGTTTGCTTGTTTTTATAGTGTCAACTGCACTCTCGCAAGCGAAGTCTTGGCGCGCACAAGGCTCAATTCGTAAAACTCCTTGCCAAAATTCGGAATTTCACGCCCGTCGAGTTTATATCCGTTCTTCGCATCATCTTGTGAACTTGTCCTGATCTCACTCACGTCCATCCGAAATAACTGTCTCCCAGATTTGTGCGCTACGCTTTGCTTCCTCCGCCGGGTGTAAATATCGGCGTGGGCGTGTATTTGGTGACCGGCTGAGGCCAAAGAAGGTCGAAGAGTGGTGTGGTCATTGGGATGATGATGTACTTGGTCGTACTTGTAGGCTTGATGAGACTTAGGTAGGAGTTAAACTCGTTGGGAGCGGAAAACGACGTGGAGGAGTAATTTGAATCATTGCCTCATGAGCCAACTTCTTTGTTATTGCGAAATTTGACTAAACTTGGCTCTGGGAGAATATTTCACTCCCAGGTTCGTAGAGGACACCGCTTACAGGTGTTCAGTCTTGCCCTCCTATACGTAAGGTTAGTTCAATGCAGAACGAGAAGTACAAAAGTGAGGTATCTATTATGTCTTCCCTCTTTATCCAAGAACATTGCGAACGTTTAGTTCGTGATATTGGCTGAGTCATCAAGATAATGACTCAGCAACAGAGAGATGCACCACGCTTAGTGCAAAGCAATTTGAGCTACTTTCCGACAATCTGTTCATTATTTCACAAGAAATCAATAGATAATGACGGGGTAACGACTCCTCTTAGTATATACTCGAATGAAGATCCGTGGGGGTGGTACTGCTGGAAAGAAGTTGTGAAGGAGGCATAGGAGGAAATACACTACCCGAGGCAACGATCTCCCGGCCTGTAGGCAAAAAGGACCTATATATCCTCACATAGTCATAAACTTCTTAGGACAATATACACATACAGTACAGTACAGGAAATCAACAAGTGTGTAAATTCTAGCGAGCACAGTCCACAGTGACGCAATGTGCAATATGCGAAATGATTATGCCTCTCATATTAGGCATAAACATATCAGATGTTTACAAGTCGCGTCTCCGACACGTAGTAAATAACCTGACCGACTTTAAAACAATATTTCTAGGGCTGGAAGTTTACCATGAGAGTCATCGAGGTCATAATAGACGTGAGTAACCCTCCAGATTCCATAGAAAATGGGTGAGATTTGACATACAACCCAGGGTTTTAAATCTTATGCTGTGCGAACCGTTATTTCAGGATGGTAACCAAAGATTAGTCACTACACGCAGAGTTACAACTAACAGTATAGGGACGAGAGTTTTAACTCAATAACTGGCCTAAATGGGAGCGGAAAATCAAACATTCTGGATGCAATATGCTTTGTCTTAGGGATTACAAATATGGCTACAGTCCGGGCACAGAATCTTCAAGTACCTGCTGGTCGCCTTTTGTTATGGTCTCCGCGCTAACACAACTTAAGGATCTTATCTACAAACGTGGGCAGGCTGGCGTTACCAAAGCCAGCGTCACAATAGTCTTCGATAACCATGACACTAAAAAGTCACCTATTGGATTCGAGGAGTACTCTCAGATTAGCGTCACGCGTCAGATTATGCTAGGTGGTACGAGCAAATATTTGATAAATGGCCATCGGGCACAGCAACAGACTGTACAGAATCTTTTCCAGTCTGTGCAGCTGAACATCAACAACCCTAATTTCCTAATTATGCAGGGAAGAATTACCAAAGTTCTGAATATGAAAGCTGTAGAGATTCTGGCCATGATAGAGGAAGCCGCGGGTACGCGTATGTTTGAGGATCGAAGGGATAAAGCGTTCAAGACCATGGCAAAGAAAGAAATGAAGGTCCAAGAAATCACCGAACTCCTACGAGACGAGATTGAACCCAAATTGGAAAAGTTACGGACTGAAAAGCGTGCTTTTCTGGATTTCCAGCAAACGCAGAATGACTTGGAGCGCTTAACGCGAGTTGTTGTCGCTCACGATTACATAAAGAGCCAGGAAAAACAGAAGCATTCTGCCGAGTCTCTAGAAACCAAAAAACAATGTGTAAAAGACTTTCAGGAGAGCGCTATCAAGCTGAAGAGTGAAATTGATCATCTTGCAGAAGATGTTAAAATCTGTAAGGCTCAGCGAGACCAAGAGATGAGGAAGGGGGGGCAAGCAAATGCCCTAGAAGAACAAGTCAAAAAACATTCCCATGAACTAGTGCGCTTAGCTACTGCCATTGATCTCAAGAAATCTAGCGTGTTGGAAGAGACAGATCGTAAATCTCACATCAAAAAGACTGTCACTGAACTTGAATCACAGGCAAAGCTAAAAGCTAAAACCTACGAAGAGATTCAAGCAAAATTTGACAAGGCAAAAGAAGAACTCAGGAAACAAGGTGAGCAAGCCGAGACGAAAGAAGAACTCCTCCAAACCCTGCAAACGGGCGTAGCTTCAAAAGAAGGACAAGAGAGTGGGTATCAAGGACAGCTTCAAGACGCACGTAACCGAGCTATTGCAGCATCAACTGAACAGGAGCAGGTAAAACTCAAGATTGCTCACCTTGAAAAAAAGGTAAAGGAAGAAGAACCTCGTGCAAACAAAGCCAAGGAGCAAAATTCAAGCTTGTTGGAAGAGCTCGAGGGCTTACGATCACAGGCTCAGAGGCTGGATAAAGAATATAAGGACTATGGATTTACTCCTGGACATGAAAATGATCTATTCAAACGTGAATCCACACTACGTCAGGCAATTCAAAATCTCCAAGAGAAGTCGGATGAGATGAGACGAAAGGTAGCCAATATAGATTTCAACTATACCGATCCTACACCAAATTTTGACCGTACAAAGGTCAAGGGCTTGGTGGCCCAGTTATTTACACTAGAAAAAGATCGGTCCGATACGGCTACAGCTCTTGAAGTTTGTGCCGGCGGTCGACTTTATAACGTAGTCGTCGATAACGAAATGACCGCTACTCAGTTACTCCAGAGCGGAAAACTAAGAAAGCGTGTAACCATAATTCCGCTGAATAAAATTGCAGCTTTCAGGGCCTCTTCAGAGAAGATTGGAGCTGCCCAGAATGCTGCTCCAGGAAAAGTTAATTTGGCTCTATCTTTAATCGGATTCAATGACGAAATCTCAACCGCCATGGAATATGTGTTTGGAAATACATTGATCTGCAACGACGCAACTACAGCAAGGCGTGTAACTTTCAATGCGGCAGTTCGAATGAAAAGCATAACTCTAGAGGGAGATTCGTACGACCCATCTGGAACACTTTCCGGTGGTAGCGCCCCAAACTCAAGCGGGGTTCTAATCACTCTACAGAAACTCAACGAATTAAACCGTGAAAGGAATCTCCAAGAAAAAGAACTTTCAGATCTTCAAGCCACTATTTCTAGAGAAAAGCGACGGCTTGATCAGTTCAAAAAGACGAAGCAGGAACTAGACCTCAAGTCACACGAAATTAAGCTATATGAAGAGCAAATAAACGGAAACTCTTCATCATCTATTATTCAAGAGGTTAAGAATATGAAAGATACACTTGTCCAGTTGAAGAGTAATCTTATCGAAGCGAAGAAGCGACAAGATGAGGCGCAAAATGACGTTAGACGCATCGAAAAAGATATGAAGGACTTTGATAGCAATAAAGATGGCAAGCTCGTAGAGCTTCAAATATCTCTCGATACCCTGCGAAAATCTCTCACTACCAACTCTGCGACGGTCAAGAATCTACAAAAAGAGCTACAAAGCGCTCGCTTAGACTCAGAGCACATCGAAAGTGACCTGACAACAGCTCTAGAACAGCTACGGGACTCCAAACAGGCCCTAAAGAGTCAAGAAGTAGAGATTGCAGCACTAGTTTCTGAACAGACTTTTGTACAACAAGCACATAATTTGGCCCAAGCACAGCTCGAGGAAGAGCAAGCGAAATTGGTCGGGTTTAATGATGAGCTACACTCGCTTGGCGAGGCTTTACGATCGAAATCGGCTCGTATTACCGAAGAAGGACTAGAAATGCAAAAATTAGGTCATCAAGTCGAGAAGCTTTACAAGGAGCAACAGGCTGCTGTCCAAGCTGTGGCTCAGATGGAGAAAGAGCATGAGTGGATTGTGGATGAGAAGGGTAACTTTGGACGGACAGGTACGGCTTATGACTTTAAGAGTCAAAATATTGCCGAGTGCAAGGCATCCCTTCGAAATCTCAACGACCGGTTCCAGGGTATGAAGAAAAAAATTAATCCGAAGGTTATGAACATGATTGATAGTGTGGAAAAGAAGGAGCTTGCATTGAAGAACATGATGAAGACAGTTATCCGAGACAAGAAAAAGATAGAGGAGACTATTGTCACGTTAGATGAATATAAAAAAAAAGCACTGTTGGAAACTTGGACCAAAGTAAACGGCGATTTTGGTCAGATTTTCGCTGAATTGTTGCCTGGCAGTTTTGCCAAGCTGGATCCACCTGAAGGTAAAACGATCAATGAGGGGCTTGAGGTTAAGGTCTCGTTAGGTATTTACCTGTCCTAAGAAGTATAATAACTAGAGATTCTAACTCAACGATCTAGGAAAAGTATGGAAGCAATCACTGACTGAATTTTCAGGAGGACAGCGGTCACTAATTGCCCTGTCATTGATTATGGCGCTATTGCAATTTAAACCAGCTCCTATGTACATCTTGGATGAAGTAGATGCAGCCCTCGATCTTTCACATACGCAAAATATAGGACGTCTGATTAAGACAAGATTCAAGGGTAGCCAGTTCATTGTAGTCAGCTTAAAGGACGGCATGTTTCAGAATGCCAATCGTATTTTTCGTACGCGATTTTCGGAAGGTACCAGTGTGGTTCAGGCTTTGACGGTTAGTTTACTCCGGCTACCCTTACTCTGATTTATCAAAGACTAAAATTAATGAAGCCCAACGATTTCCGATGAATGTTACTGTCAAGTAAAATATGCAGATAGTCTGAATACTTGATTGAAGCTTTTGGGCTTTGCGCCGTAAGTAGCAGCTTACCGCAATGTAGGTCACGATCTGCACTATAGCTACAAGATACCGGCTTTGCTACGAAAGTTATGCTTGATACGTATGGCTAACATGAGATCACGAATACGTCACTTTCCACTCAGCCATGCCCAAGCTGGCTACGATAGCTTATTACGTGTTGATTTTATGGTTCTCTAGATGAGAATGGAATGAAGATCGTGGTGCAGTCGATTAACTATACGGCGATCTCTACCTACCGGCGCCTAGATTTGATACCGCATTCTAGGGCCTAGCCCCTCACCCCCTCCAATTCTTAAATTGGCACTAAATAGACGTTGGGAAAATTTTGGCTCTCCAGATCCAACATTGGTGGCTCGGCACAGGGATTTAGGCAAGTATTAGCTGGCAACTCATGAATAGGTAGAGTACAATACTCGGAACTGCAAAGGCCAAGTCGGCTTGTTGGCCCTTGAAACGAAGATATAATGGTGGTTCTTCTCAGTACTCTCTTGGTAATAGAACAATAACAATGCATATTGATTATAATCTTGTAATAGACCTCTATCAACCACTCTGTGTAGCTTTTATGTTACCTATATATTATTGAGATGTTTTCACATGGGACTTTTAATCTATCATGACTAAACTCCCGTGTTGTCCTCATTCTTAAGCCAGAGATAATTCATCTCTAATTGCCAAAGACTTTATGTGCAGTGGCTCACTCTTAGCCACCATAATCTAAGATAAGCGTCCTTAGGTAGATTATGACACCACAAAAAGCATCCTAAGATCCCTTATACGCACTATGCTTCGTACTACGAAACATAGCCCTGCTTTTCCTCCAGGCAATTCAGCAAATTCCTAATTAGGTATCTAAGAAAATGTATTCCTTTATCGGCTGAAGCAATATGGTGGTATTTCTAGTTGTCATCAGGAAGGTAATTCACAAGCTGAGAGAGTCGATACAATTGCCGTTAAGGGACCAAGTCATGACTGGTTTCTTCATAAATAGGCCCGTAGTCTCCGAGAAGCCATTACTATCAATAAATGTAACCCAGCAGTGCCAGAAGTCTTACGTGAGCCAGAAAGAAAAGGTAGTTGTTGTGACGAAAAACGAATTGTTGATGAATAATCGATTTATTAAACTATACGAGGAGAAAAGAGAACTCTATATTGTAAAATTCGGATGATTTCTATTTTCTCCTATACGAGCTTGTGTTTATATACATAAAATTCAGCCTCAATTTTTATTACATCCTTCCTGCCAACTGCACGCATTCCCAATTAGAATTGTTGAGATTAGTCCTATGTTCACCTAGCCCATACCACTTCCCCGTTTATAATTGGCACTTCCAACTTCATTGTTACACAGCGAACTAAGAGCAACATCATAAGGAATTCTCATTACATCATGTACTAATTCAACAGATATTATGATATCACAATACTCTGACTACAACCAACAGATATCTCTTAGGGATAACCCTCCTCTTGAATCTACAGACTAATGACTTATCCTTAGGCACAATACTTGCCACCCAGCCACGCATTGCCAGGTCTCACTTAGCTGTAGTAACGCTTCAGCCTCCTTCAAAAAATTTTAAATCATTTAATGTGTATTCAGCTATCTAGCTACGACACAAAACAGGTGCTATGTAAACTTGTAGGATGATTCGTTTGACGTTTGAGACACTCATACTCTGAATTTCATTCACAAATACCACCATGAGGTATGTTAGCTTACACAAACAGTCGATCCTGCTCCGTAAGCACCCACCAAAGGGAAATTCGTAACCTTTGACCATCAAAGTATGCCTTCGTCATCCATGTATACCAGCGCTGTGAGAAATGTGGTTATGTTTAGCCGGACTCGAACCAGCGATCTCCTATCTCGAGTGGGATATGGGTCAAAGGTATCCAGACCTTACTTGCCAGACCGGTCAAGACGATATACCACCGCACCACCCAACCATGGCGATGTTTATAGTATCGCCTGCACTCTGGCAACCGAAGACTTGGCCAGCACATAGCTCAATTTGTAAAGACACGCCAAAATTCGAAATTTCACGCCCATCGATACTGTATCCATCCTCTGCATCATCTCGTGAACTTGACCTTATCCCTCTCACGTCCATCCCAAAGAACTATCTCCCAGATTTGTGCAACACGCTTTGTTTCCTCCATCGGATGTAAATATCGGCATGGGCGTGTATTTGGTGACCGGCTGAGGCCAGAGAAAGTCGACGAGAGGTGTGATCATTTGAATGAGGATGTACTAGGTTGTCCTTGTAGACTTAATGAGAATTAGGTAGGATTCGATCTCTTTGGGAGTGAAAACTTGGCGTGGTTGAGTAATTTGAATCATTGTGTTGTGGGCCAACTTCTTTGATATTGCGAAATTTGACTGAACTTGGCTCTGGAAGAATATTTCACTCCTAGGTTCGTAGAGGACACTGCGTACAGGTGTTCAATCATGCCCTTCACCTCCTGGCTATTTTTTTTTCTTCGCATCAGATTTTAATTGCGTATGCAGCTATCTAGCTATGACACAATATCAGAGAAAAGTACAGAAAAGATGATTCAACGTAAAGGAAGAGCACTCATGCCTCGGATTTCATTTGCAAGTACCACTGCGAAGTTATGGCGGCTTTTTCCTCACCCCAAGTCAACCCTCATCCGTGAATACCCATCCAGGGGAACATCTCAAAAACCCTGAGTTATTCAGACATGCCTCCATCATCTTTCAACTTTTCTCCGCGCGAAATATGGTCTGAGATATCTCCTTCCCAGGTGGAGTAGGTGCCCAGGCTACTCAGACTATACCGGAGAACACCACGCCTCCTAACTAGCAGTGCTGTGTCGTTCGGCTTTATCTATCCCTCCCCATGTAGCCTTATCGTAAACATTCTCGATATTAAACTTAGCTATCTGCCTAAGCTCAAACAACGGTCAAGCCGTAACAGTCGTCGACACATAGCTCCAGTGTGTATCAGAAGACGTGGTGCACAATGGGGTAACCACCTTCTAAATTATTGCCGGTATTTCACCGGTATTGTTGTGCTACAAGCGGATATCGAACTTCTCTTAATTATCTATCTACTAATCTCCATCTAAGAAAGTACATAACGAGGGTATAAGATGATGTAGCATTATAATCTAAAGACAAACGCACAACTTTACTTCTACACACTGCATGTCCTACATAGTAATAGACTCAGACAGGACAATAAAATGAATTAATAACAACAATAATCTACTTCTACACACACACACACACACACATTTTGCCGATCGGACCGTGTATTACGCAGCTCTTTAGAGCTTGCATACGGCTCGGCACCCACCCATCTTGCTTCAAACTTGCAGAAGTGGTGCTATTGGAAAAGCCAAATCGGGACCCAACCACAATCAAAGGCTGGAGACCTATAGCCCTCCTATCATGCATAGGCAAAGGGTTAGAAAGACTTATTGCCAAGCGAATGGCGAACCTCGCAATCACCTGTGATGTGGTTGGCCATCAACAATTCGGTGCGCTCCCGAAGCGATCGGCAACGGACCTGGTTTCCTGCGTAGTCCACGATGTCGAAGAAGCTCGCTCCCAGGGATGGGCCTCAACATTTGTAACTTTAGACGTCCAAGGAGCGTTCGATGCAGTGCTCCACAATCGCTTGGTTAGGCGCATGCAAGCTCAGGGATGGCCAGACTCAATCCTCCGATGGACGACTTCATTCCTCACACATCGGAAGGTACAAGTGCGTTTCTCCGGCAGAGTCACCACCCAGAGAGAGCTGGTCTGTGGAGTCCCCCAGGGATCACCAATTTCGCCATTACTATTTCTTCTGTATATGGTGGAGCCAATGAAAAGTGGTACCCCAGGATTGAGGTTTAGCTACGCGGACGACATTGGAATTCTAGGATTTGGACGCACAATTGCTGAATCTGCCGCTGCCGTACAAGGTGAGACAGATCATCTTCTCGAATGGGCGCGGAATAATGCTGTCGACTTTGACACGGAAAAATCGGAAGTTATTCAATTTCCGGGACGACGCCGAGAGGAAGCAGTTGGTGTTCGTGTTAACGGAACCCTTATTGAGCCTGCGGAAAATATTCGCTGGTTAGGCGTGAATTTGGATCCACGACTCAATTTCAAACACCAAATGTAGTCATTCACAGAGAAGGAGGAATCCCGCCGGCAAAGGTCATCCTTGAAGGAAACCGTCTCCAGCTTTCGGCAAGGCTTAAGACCCTTCATGGTCGACACCCTTTGAGGATCTGCGCTTCCGTGTGCCCGAATTTCGGCACCCGAAAATACAAAAAGACTGCCAAGTCCTCAGCTAGACCGGAAATTCAGATGTCACGATTACAGCGTGCCTACCGAGAGCTTATGGAAGCAGAAGCCCCTGAAAGTCTGATGCCGGTGGTTTATCCTAGGAAATCAGGCTCAAAGCCGATGGAACGTGAAGGTTGCGTTAGAAGGATTAGCGACATGCTAGAAACGGACATTTACGCATACTCGGATGGGTCATCGGAAGGACACGGACGCTCCGCCTGGGGCTTTGTTCTGAAAAAGGATGGGAAACTCATTGGCAAAGGAAGTGGCATCAAGCACAGGGGATGGGTGCTGGATGCAGAGATAGTAGGAGCAAGGAAGGCTCTGGAGGCCGCACTGGAGTTCTTGGAAAACGGGAAGTCTAGGAAAGTAGGAGGGTCGCAGCAAATCCACGTGTTTCTAGACAGTCAGCAGGCTGTAAACGCATTAACGACAGGCTCGTCCTTAAATAGCCTAGAAGATATACGCAAATTCCGTGAGTTATCCAATAAGGCAAAAATATCCGTGAAGTGGGTTCCAGGGCATGCAGGAATCCAAGGAAATGAAGAGGCAGACGCCATGGCCAGTGCAGCACTTCGACAATTGCCTAGCCCGGATAAGCAACTAGGATCTAGTATTTTGGCATATCTTCGTGG